AGAGACTACAGAGCAGTAAAACATCTGCAGCATGGTCCTGCAGAGACTACAGAGCAGTAAAACATCTGCAGCATGGTCCTGCAGAGACCATTGTGCGGTAAGATGTCTGCAGCATGGTCTTGCAGAGACCACCGAGCAGTAAGACGTCTGCAATCTCGTGCAATATGATGAGATCTTGTGCTACTGCTAACAGCACACAATGGGGATGACAAGTCATGATGGTCATCTTAAACAGGGATGCCTCCAACAGATAATAGCTTGTAAATACACATCAATTGGTAACTTTTTTAGAGTTCCAGTAAAATCTATCCAGTAGTGCATTTCATATTTTACTTACATTCTTGACAAACTTGCTATCACACACACCAACATATCGCCAATTCTCTTTTGGTGATGGGTGATCAGAATATTTTATTGCCATGTGCATTTATATGTACATGGCGTTTGATTTGGTGTTTCTGTGCAACATAAATTTAGAGAAGAGTTTTGCATACTTATGTACAGTCATGTACACACGTCATTTCAAGACCCGAGCATGTTAGTTAGGAATGTAGCAGTTTCGTAAAAGCTGTTTCTGTGGCAGAGGTTCTGGTCCTCAAGGGACGCAGCCTCCAGCTGTAGGGGAGCAGTTCAAAAGGATGACCAGGGTGGGAGGGGTCATCTGTAATCTATCCCACATGCCTCAGAGTCCTGGAAGAGTACTAGTTCTGCAGAAATGGCAGATTGTAGATGGTCGCCTTTTCAGCAGCGTATCATCAACGCTGCCTCTGTCCTTGGGTGCGGCAGCAGTGTACTACACCATGATGGAGAAAGTGAGGACAGACTCAATGAAGACAGTGTCCACCATCAATGACTTTGATGGGCTGAAATTCGCAAGGCCCGAAGTGACAGTAAATTTTTGCGGGGGCGGGCGTGAAATTGAAAAAGCAGTTTCCTCTTAGTTTTCTCTGTAGTTGTGTCACACAACGATCAGTGGTGAAGATGAAAACAGTTTGGATGATCTATTAGCAATTTCACCTAAGTCCATGCTCAATAATCCAGGTATAAAATCCAACATTTTTCAGTCAGGTCATCTGGACAGTTTCTTTTTTTGTGCTGAAACGTTTCGCCTTCGATCCAGAAGGCTTCATCAGTTAAGGAAACACACAACAAAACTGATTCTTCCCCCAACAGCTTACTCCAAAGTGGAACAAACCAGTGCTGCTTGTGATAAGATGGTCTCTTTGGTACGCCCCTGCTCCATTGCCGGCCCTCTTCCTTGTTGACAGTCTTGTCAAACTGGTTGAAAACAACAAATTAGCAATTTCATTTATGAGTTAAAAAATGCAGCTTTGACTTTAAAATGAAAAAAGCATTTCTGCTCATTCATTTTAATCTTCAAATTTGGCATTTTAATAGGAATTTTGGTCACTTTTTACAGGGACATATTTTGAAAATTATATGTTAAACGTTATTTTATTTATCATTTTAATTAATTTGCTAACAGAGCAGTCTTGGAGAAGAAAATGAAAATGCAGTTTGGATGATTTATTTTTAATTTTACAGTATTTATGAGTCCAAACATGCAGCTTTATTTTGAAAATGAGAAGAATTTCTATTAATCCATGTTAATTTGAAAATTGACACACATATGCTTCCTATGTCACCTCATGTCAGTATACAACAGGTTCTGTCTGGGTGGGAAGACAAGCTCAAGCTTTACTGGGACAAGTTCTACCCAAGACTGACCC